TCTACGATCAGATCCATCTAATCCTGGCCACAGATTCCTGTTTGGGTCCATCGGTTCTGGTCTCTCCGGGTTCCAGTTTTAGTCTATTCTAGGGCCACTCCTATTCAAGATCTACACGCTCTCCTTGGCTCAAATTATATCAAACAACCAAATCCGTTACCATGACGATGCTGACGACACTCAGCTTTACATCCCTCTGTCATCAGGTGACTATGACCCATCAGAGCGTTGGTTAGATGCTGAGAACAGATCAATCTGTGGATCATTTTCTACAAATGACTAAAAACCAAAGTGAGGTAATAATCTTTGGACCAGAGGAGCAGAGATCCAGAGTTAGATCCCAGCTTCAGCCGCTGCAGCAGAAACCACTGATTATGGCTGAAACCAGGATGGACTCAGACCTGAACCTGCAGAGGCTCAGAAAGACCGTTCCTGATCCAGATCACCTGAAGAACAGCTCCAGGATGATCAGCACGATCTAGAAAAATATCTATAGTAGAACTGATCACTGCAACAGTGTCTTCATAGGAAGAACTAAGGAAGTAGATCAGACAGCTGATCCAGACGCTGCTGCCTGCATCCTCACTAGAACTATAGAAAGTAGATCAGACAGCTGATCCAGACGCTGCTGCCTGCATCCTCACTAGAACTATAGAAAGTAGATCACATCAGCCCGGTTCTAAAGTCCTTCCTCTCACTCCCTGTCGCTCAGAGAATAGAATTTACAATCCTTCTGTCAGTCTAGAAATCACTGAATAGATCAGCACCTCAATCCATAATAGATCTATTGTCAGTAGATCTACCTCCCCGACCAATCAGGTCTTCTACATCCAGCCTGCTCTGTCCACCCAGAACTAGAAGCAAACATGGAGAAGCAGCATCTATGCTCCACAGATCTGGAACAAACTCCCAGCAGCATCTATGCTCCACAGATCTGGAACAAACTCCCAGCAGCATCTATGCTCCACAGATCTGGCTAGTTTAGAGCCGCCTTTGACTGATGGAGATAAACTGCTAGTTTAGTTTTTATTCTTATTTTATTTTCTATTTTCATGTAAAGCCCTTTGAACTCTTTCTGTCCTGAACCGCTTTAGAGAAAAACCTCCCCTGCCTTTGAGCCAGGCATCGTTCAGATGATTCTTTTTTTTAATAAAAAGTCTTTGAACCATAAAGCGATGATCTGCTTCCTGTTTTACAGAAGCTCAGCTTCCCTTTTCATGAACAGTTTATCATAAACTGCCTAAAGTTCAGTTTTTACAGATAATTTCTCACCATTCAGCAACGTTTCCAATTAGACGTCTTTATTTCACCAGTCAGACGTTTTTAAAGCAAATCCTTTGGATTATCAGTATTATAATATTTTTATTATGGAATATGAATTAATGCTGACAGGAAACCTGCTCAAAGGTAGTTCTCCAGCTATCCAGCAGATGGCGCCATTCAAACCTGCATCATATGCATCCAGCGTGGTGTTGAGTGTTCAGATAATTATCATTGATGATGTGAGTTTATTAAAATATTAGCTGCCTGTTTGTCTGTATTGATGTTTCCCCGCTAGTTTATCTAATTAGGCCAGTTTGTCTGGATATAAAGTTATAATCTTCATTCTGAATGTGGAAAAGGGTTGAGAATGAGAGCGACGTCCATCAGCTAA